TTTTTTTTTGAGTTTTTTCATATTTTTTTTATTCTGCAACGAATTCTTATCGGAAAGTGTCTTCTTGTTTAACATAAAGACAAGGAGCTTTTCGTTTTGCTGATAAACTTTTATTGAGTTTCGATGAAAAATAGATTACTGTGATAACTTGCTATGCTTTCTATTGCTGTACATGCTTCATAACTAAATAAGCCCAACCCTGAAACAGCTTAGTTAAGCCATGTTTAGTGGTACTCAATGAAAACCAAGACATGTAGTATTGAAGTGGTGGTTCATTTTGACTTTGACTAATTTTAGCCCCCCATTAAGATAAAAGATAAAATGTTCAAAAACCAATGCTGTGGAAGGTGAGCCCATCTCTTCGGATCAGATTTTCTGATTTTGATTTGGATGTTCGAATGTGGTTCTCAGGTTCCTCGCAACCCTTATCGTATCCTTATCAGAACTTTTTTTTTCGCTGTAATCTTCGATTAATTTAAGCATTGTTTGATCTTTGTCCTCCTAATGACTGCTCCGAAAAGGGCTTTGCAGAATTGTGCAAAGGACTCACCTAAAAGACTTTCTGGGAAACGTCGAGAAAAGCTCTCAGGACTTTTTTGATACCCTTGAATTTACGCATATCAACTTCGTTCTTAACTTTGGTCAATTTATATATTAGAATTTGTTCACAACATGCAATATGTCAATGTATATGATATTTACACCTTGTGTATACTATGAAGAGTATAAACTGTAGTTTACAAGAGGTTTTGAACTAAAGACCTGGCTGTTTTTGGTCGAGGTTGATTTTTTCGAACAATTAAACTATACTTATGGTAGTATTGAATTGTTAAAGACTTTGTGAAAGGACTCACGGGAATTTATTTATTATTTATTTATAATTTTATTAAATTTTTTTTATATTTATTTTTTATTTATTTGAAAGTTACTCATAGATCACTGCTATTTCACTATTAATGGAATCCAAATTAATATATGTACATTTTTAAGGCAGTATTGTTCCTGCAACCACATGCACACTGTACAAGAAGCAAACTGGTAATTGTATGGAAGCGAGAGCATATGAGAATATCACAAAGGATTCGGCCCTGAATGGCTTTACACCACGTTACTTCAAACAACTGCAGAAGAATGATGAATGTGAGTTCAAACGAATGATTATTACTTGTTTCGCATACGTGTCATTCGAGTTGGGATATTCGTCCATTTATTATCTTTGTTCACGCAACTTGGATGTTTAAATTGACTCCGAAAAATGGGTTAGGGTTATCGCTTTCTAAATCAAAGGAATTCCCTCTGCCGCCTCTACTCCCTTCTCTTCACGTGATGGGCTTGCGTTGTCAATGGACACAATCGAGCCCAGCAAAAACAATTTTTCTAAAAATTTTGTTTATGGCTGTTCTACGAGTAATGCGACTATCTTATTACTAATAATAGTAAAGTGACTGGAGTTTTGGTTGATAATGAACCTACGCTATTGCGCCATGGCTGTCGTTAAGAGTAGGCCTGAACGTATCGTCACTAATGTTAAAACTGCGCATAACATTTCCACTTTCTTAAAGAGAACTTCTAGATTCACGAGCGGAGCAAAAATGACAGCGGCAATATCATTTCAAGCGCATTTGTGATGAAACGGTCTTGATCATTGGCGACCAAAGCAACACTTCTACAGCTGAATAGGTGCAGTAGCATAAGCTAACAAGTATCATGGCTTCTGCACAGTTTATTGTTTTCAAGCGGTTCTAGACGACTTCAAAAGTCGGAGTGTGAGTGGTCATGATCGAGCTTCTCTTTTAAAACCGGAAGAGATCGCACTAGGCCACGGGTTACCAGGTGGTGAAATGGCCACTCCCGACCGTAACTAATGCATCTATTCAAAATAATATCTGGAAGACCCATCTTGTTATCTGAGACTGCATTGAGCTTGTTTAATATTTCCTGCAGTAACTGTCTATGCTTTTGATTCGTTATCCATTATGATCAAGCTGTTTAAGGCTTCATTGAAATCGAAGATTTGCTACAACAGTTTGCTGATCCGTCGAAAACGAGCATTATGGATATCAAGATTGGTACAAGGTTAGTGAATGTTCAAATCTTGAGTTTAAAGTCTTCATCTTAAGAATATTTCCGTTTGGTTCCTCAATTATTTCTTACTGTCGCAAAGTTACAGAACATTTTTGGAGTCTGAAGTGTCAAACACAAAACGAAGGAAAGATCTCTATGAAAAGATGACAGCCATTGATCCTGATGAACCGACGCCTGAGGAACGAGCGTGCGGTGAAATCACAAAACTGCGCTATATGCAGTTTCGTGAACGAGAAAGTAGTTCCGCTGAATTGGGATTCCGAATAGAAGCTGCCAAGGTCAGTTCTGAGTCTCTGGAATTTCCCTTNCTTCTCTATTGTTCAGGGTAATTGTTACATTATTAATATTGTGCTTCTTTTTTTATACGTTTGATAGTCTTCCCGGTCGAATAATCTGACCACGATTTTGTCGCGCAAACTTGTACTACACTAGCACATTGGCATGGGGTTAAAAACCGTCAACGTAATATTTGCCTGTTTATTAGAACTATGCCCTTTCAAATGGCTGTTTGAGAGTTTTTGTATTTTATTATTTATTTTTGTTTCTTGGTGAACCCCGGGCTTTATTCTTCTTTCTTCCCAGGGAAACACCGGGCCCATTAGTTGACTTATTGTTACTTATAGTTGCTTCCCGTCTCGAACTTACCTTAGCTTTTTTCTAGCCACTCCATTGGCCCACCTAGCATAGTTGCGACACTTTGTATAGTAGATTCTTGGCTTTTCTTCCATGCCTTGAGTCAATTCCCAATTTTTTCGGTTCGTCAGCTATCCTATACCCAATGAATTTTTATAGTAAGGATCCTTTTTCTGGTAGTTACTCTCTTTCATCACAAGACTGCCCCTTATATTGATATAATCCTCAGCACCATTTAGGTACTGTTAGCATCCACCTAGTTTTCTTCTCACGTAATGAGGCAGTTTTTGAATCGAGTCAAGATGTTTCACAAATAGCACCACCCATTTGCAGTACGCTTCCCTTTCTGTGAATGGGCATGCTCTTTAAATTCATGACTCTCTGGTTGTCTTCACTTGCCATTTCTGCTTCTAGGTCACTTGAGATTATGTTAGATCTTGTTTAAGCCGCTAATAGAGCGACTGAACCTTTTATTTTAAGCAGGTCCGTCATGCACCGCTTAACTTGATTAGTACATAATTTATTCGATTTTTCTTTTTGTTTCCTTTGACGACTTTCATTGGCTTTTTACTACTGTCGATTTGAGGTCATTCAAATAGCTACTTTAGATGCCCGGTGGTTCGTTACAAAAGAACTTCAAGAAAGTGCGAACATACGAAGATGTAACCAAGGCGCTGATAGATTTCTTTGGAACCGATCGTGAGAGGATACGGAGTAGGCTACTGGCACGATTGAAGGCAATGAGATCAGCCATTGAAAGGAGTCACTTCTTCGCCACTCACGAGGTACTTTGTTTTGAGGATCTTTGGGGTTTGCCGTCGCCTTTTTACATCCCACATTGGCCATAATTTCAGGTGGTGGGAAGCTCTTTGCTGATTGTCCATGATCATGAAAAAGTGAACTGTTGGATGATCGATTTCGCCAAATCGTCGCCCGTTGATTCCACGAGACGCCTGGATCATCGAACACCTTGGGTTCCTGGTAACTCTGAAGATGGATACCTCTTAGGAGTGGACAATCTCATCAAAGTGAGTCTCCGTGCAGTTATGTTTTTATTGAACGAGTTTCATGAGTTCATTTGTTGCTCCATATGTCAGAATTATCTTTTTTATGATTAGTTTATTTAATTTGTTTTACTACTACCTTCTATGATAACATGTAGGTTGTTTTTTTCTTCTCGGCGTATTTCCATATTTGTCGCACCTCAATCTCGCCGATGCTACCAGCAAGTTGCGCTTGTAATATATCGTAATTGAGCTAGCAGCTTTTTGTTGGAACGTGCGATGCACTACCTGCTTGCCGCTCCGCGACCGCACGCTTTGTAGTAGTACGGTACGGTGGCGCATTTGATATGTAGCGCTAATTTGCATTCTTTTCCGTAACTGAAGCTTTCATTATATCACCTCTCCTATCTATTTGTGAATACTTTTTATTTCTATCCAATTTTGTTGAATTCTTCAAAACTGAAAACGACTTTCCAGATACTGGAGAGTATGCCGCCTGTAGAAGTGACTATCGTGGAGGAGTTGAGCTGACATATTTGAGTGAATGTACCTGACGGGATGTGCCCGAATCGCGGCTGGGAGAAATGCATATCATAAAGCTGTCGATCTCAACTCATCATTCCCCATAAAGCTGCTACGGCTGAGAAGTAAGTTCGCTGCTGCCAGAAGCTGAAAAGCTCTTTCGAGGAAAACGCGCATTGGAGCAACTTGACCTATTGCACAGATACAATATAATTTTACGGTAATATGTTGTACTAGAGGGTAATTCCATTTTACAGTACCTCAGTGCCAGAGATCACTTGTTTTCAGATTGCCTTTTTCTATAATTACTATATCACTTCGCTTTGTTTTATTTGATAGCATAATATGCGGTTCAATCCAAGGTTCTCGATGCATATTTTGCCTTGTTCTGGGTATGTTTTTCATTCTGTGTCAACGAAATTTTAAGCCTTTTATGCGATTGTGATAGACCGTGACCGAAACGGTGTTGCTCAAAAGTTGTGGTACAAGTATTGATTGATTGCATGCTGTTCATATGAGTCTATATTTTTTCACTTTTTTCACGTTTTGTGTCTTACAAAATGTTATACGGAGTTGGTTATAAGTTTATGTGATAATAAGCACATCTATGGCATTATTATTATTGTTAATAAATAGGACCTATGTGTTGGACTACTGTATGTATACTACTGACCCGTCGTTGTCGGGTTTCTGATTGCCCAATACGGGATATTCTCGTTCTTATACCCAGTGCTTTAAAGCTCATTCAATACGCCTAGCACGCTTATGACGCCCTTTCATATTGTCACTTTATCATCCTACACGGCTCCAGTCTTGGTGAGACTTCAGGCAGTACCCATTTTTGCAACTTCTCCCGGATAATTTAAGAATTTGCACCTTTTACCTTGATTCAATGGTCATAGGTGTAACTTGCTCTTCGTTTTACTTGTATTTTAATTCATTCCAGTACTGATGTTTCATCTCTTATCTGTATCTACATTCTCTCCTTACCTCTTCTGTCCACATATGTTTCGGTGGGTTTCAACAGACCTCGCCGATGACACACAATTTAGATCATGCAAATAACTTTTGTTGATTGCTTGCCGTTATGCCATCGCATTTTTTTCAATGCTTGCCTACTTTTGTGTTGCTTTCCCTTTTCGAACAACGCAGGACATACAGCGGCACACAAGTGTGTCGAAGATCCCCTCAAGGGGTTTACGTTACACAATTTTTCAGGACTGAAATAACACTCAGAAGCATATCATTCGAGTGGTACCCAAGCAGAACCGAAAAATTATCTCATAGTTTATTTCAAGAATGAATGTTTGAAGTAGAATTCGTTCGTTTTCAAAATACATATCTTCAAGCAATATTTTATACTCTCACCACGGATACGGACCTTGGACGGTTTACATCCACCTGCAATGGAAATGAGTTTGTTTATAGTGTTTCTTCCATTATACACTGTTCCACAATGCTTCAAGTAAGTAACGGAGGGCCGGCTGCGCTGTCTTTGGACCAAACTCTGACCCCTTTCGACCAGTACATATACTTGTTGCAGAGGTGTTGTAGTGGCGAATGGAATGGGCATGCCATAAGTACCTGTGGACCATATTGGCTTCGGCTCTAACTTTGAACTATCGTTTTGCGAACCTCTCATTCATCCCAGATGTGCGAAATTGAGGCTCCAGCATGGTCCCGGCTAGGATTTCCGAGTGATACATTTGAAATTTGGAGAAGGCTTATATCCCACTCGAATATTGCCTAGTGTACCTTCGATTCAATGTACCGATGAAAGAAGTGCCATATATAACAAGTAGCGGGTTTGTAGGTTTGAGCAGCAAAAAAGCAGTGATTTAGCATCAAGCACTGGTGGGAACGTAAGATGTCTCTGCGGCCTAGTGGTTAGCGAGTGAATTCCCCACTCACCCAATCAAAGGTTCGTTTCCTAGCGTGGGTGGTGTTTTTGCTGTGTCAAAGATTCCAAGATGCAGTCAAAGAATGGCCAAGAAATGCTGCTCTTATTAACTAGGTTCATGTTCAAATATTCGAAAAACTAAAAGATGGCTGGATCGTTATCATGGTCGAAGGGAGTGAACGGTGCGATCCGTATGGTTCAGTGGTTAACAGGGTACGCTGCGAGCGAGCGTGGGATCGGAACCAGCAGAGAACAGTTCTTTGCCAGTAACCTTTCTCATTTATCATTCTAGCGCCTCTTCATTTAGAATTTGCTGGAGTTAACCCGCACCGAATACGATTCACTGGCGAGCAGGGCCCTATGGGTATGCCCCTTTGAGGCCCTCGATCTCTTAGAAGAGGAATGTAAGCGAAAAGGATTCTCTAGGCTTATCCAAGGGGAATGTTTGCGCTTATCAGATGTTGGAAGAGTCGGCTCGAGAAGAAACGGTCAATTTTCTCCCAATGGAAGTGGAAAGTAAAGCTTGACCGTTCACTGACCACGGTTCAGTGATTTGTGAGAGGGTTAGCTAGAGGGTCTTTAAGGAATAAATACGAGATCGGTTCTTGGAGAGTACACACAGGGTTTCCTGGGTTTCAGGGCTCACAGTCCTTTCCCATCCGCCGACTCCGTACTGCGGCCGGGTTTGCATTTGTTGTTGAGTGTTGAGTGTCGTTCGAAATTATCAGTATCCCCCCTCTACCAGCAATTAATATTCCTGTTCTCTCCTACTTAGTGATTCAATAGGGTACAAGCAACACGAGATACGGTACAGTTCTTGCTCCATGTCTTCTGAGCATTCCCACGTACTGGACTGGCATACGGTGGAGCCGATGCAGTGGTTTACGCGAAATCCACTACAGTGGTTTACGCGTAAGCCAGTACAGTGGCTTACGCGTCCAGTACAGTGGCGTACGCGTAAGCCAGTGCAGTGGCATACGCGTAAGCCAGTGCAGTGGCATACACGTAAGCCAGTGCAGTGGCATACGCGTAAGCTAGTACAGTGGCATACGCGTAAGGCTGTACAGTGGCATACGCGTAAGCCAGTGCACTGGTATACAGTGTAGCAGGTGCGTTCATGTGGATTGGTCATGTGAATCGGTATAAAAAACGAGTTCATAGGCGGTGCAGCGGCAATTTGCGCGCACTACTGCACTACTACAGTTGTGGTGCCGGGATCGAATCCCGGACCTTTTTTTGATCGACCTGTCCCAGTAAATTGCTGTACAGGGTGTGCCATAAGTACCTTTGCTAGCATAAGCATCCAAGTGATTAGGGCGCGATGCCAAGGAAGGCGCATAGCATAGAGGTAGAGTGAGTTTCAATTCGCTCAGCGAAAGACTTTGGCGTCTCCCTTTATGATCAGTCAGTTTCATCTACCGAATCCGTGGTGCAATGCCAATATCGGCATCTCTCACGTGAGCGATGGGGTTGAAGTCCGCGGGACACATGGTTTTTGTTTCCTATCACCCCTTAACACTTGTCAGCCAGCATCCTCTTCAGAGTTTTCACGCGCCCTCCCTGCTTGTAATACGATTCATCATTGAGTGGGGGCAATGAGAGATCAACCAATACCGGCGTTTACGAATGTAGCTGGGTACGACGCTTGCCTTGAACATACATGGTGGGATATTGCTAGCGCTGAACGATTTCTCGCACGGCAAGGAAGACATTCGCTTAAGAGCTTGCGTGTTCAGCAGAGGCTCAGATACGTTTCCATAGGATATCCTCAGAATTCTGCATAGAACTATATCCCACTGACCAATCTGACTAGTGAGCCTTTCCAATTCAATATTCGTGGGAGAAGTGCCGTGAATGACAAGTAGTAGTTTTGTTGATTTAACAGCAAAAGAAAGGTGGTTTTGCAATGAGAACTCGTAAGGGCAAAAGTCGTCACATATGGTCCAGTGGTTAGAGAGAGGACTTCTCAGCCACTCACTTAAGGGTTCAGTTCCCGGCGTGGCAGACGTTTTTGCTGTTGTCAAAGATTCTAGGAAGCTAAAAAAGAATGACCAAAACATGCTGTATTCATCAAGAATAGTTTCATACAAGGATATTCGAAGAACAAATAAGATTGCTGTATCGTTATCAGAGTCGTAGGAGGTGGAAAGGGTTCAGTTCCCGGCGTGGCAGACGTTTTTGCTGTTGTCAAAGATTCTAGGAAGCTAACAAAGAATGACCAAAACATGCCGTATTCATCAAGAATAGTTTCATACAAGGATATTCGAAGAACAAATAAGATTGCTGTATCGTTATCAGGGTCGTAGGAGGTGGAAAGCGCGGTGCATGGAGTTCTATGGACGGGGAGCATGCGGAACCAAGTCAGCCAAGCATAAAAGCTGAAACTTAGCGGAAAAGCAATAAGGGGAAAAAGCCGAAAAAAGCAAAAGGCGCTGTCCACAAGCTTTTGAGCCAAAAACCTAAATCATGCTGCCTTTTCCGA